TAAGATTTTACCCAATTTTGTATTTGCTAATTGCATGAGGCCTAAAGCAAATATTTCAGATATAAGTAACACATGTTCAGAACCCATATATTCATTCAGATATATATCAGACATGTATGTACATATTCCAGACACGTGTGTATATACACACACATACATGAAGAGACACCTGTTGTGCTCTTGTTTCTATTAAACACTAATTACAAGGCTTAGAATTCTTGGACAGGTCCTTTGCTTCTGAGGGAACATGTGAGTAAGCCTCTCTAGGTTTCTATACATACTGCTTTTGCTTTTGTAAGTTGATTTGGGATGTCAGGCTGCTGTGGGAGTCAACCATTTAAAAACTGAAATACGCTTCTAATAGTTCAATATATTTCAAATGTCCGGACTTTCAAAATCTCTGATCAAGTCCAGACATTTCTAATAAGCATTTTGTTTTTGAGTTGGGATGCTCTGTAGCTGAAAAATATGCGTGGAATTACAGACAGTATAAAGAAAACAAAGCTATGCATCTCAATAATTTTGTGGTGATTACATGTTAAATTTTTGATGTTTTAACAGTATCTTGTCAAGTAAAATATATTACTAAGGCTCATTTTATTAATTTCTCTCTTTTTTCTTTTCACTTTTTAAACTATAGTTGCCAAGACATTCTAAATAACACGTGGCTGGCATTTCTTTTGCACTGTGCTGTGCTAATTGACTAGTGTCAGAGAGAGAGGCAGGTTTGTCGTGCTAACAGTCACCCGAAGATCTGTGGTTACAAGTGGACTTTTGCTCTCAAAATGAATCTTGCCTTTATTTTATTTTATTTAGGGGGCAGAGCCTAACTGTATAAAACTGTATAATAACTGTATAATAATAATACAGTCAAGGTTGAAACTCATTGTCTGCCTTCCTCTATCCTCTGGGTGCTAGAATGATAAATATTGCCACTACACCCTGGAAAATTAATTTTTTTGTTTTAAGAGAGAATTTCATATAGCCTAGGCTGGCTTCAAACTCAGTATGTAGTTGAAGCTGACCTTGAACTTTCGATCCTCCTAACTACACCCCCAAATACTGAGATTTCAAGTTTGTGCCACCATTTCCTAGAAAGAAGATTAATTTTTTAAAATATGTAGCAAACAGTAAGATTTGAATAGGTTAATATAACACAATTTTTAGAGGAAATAACCTAATTCTATCTTCAATGATTATCACTGTGACTAATGAATATCTTTAAATGGTAGGAAATGTAATTTTAATGAATCTAATCACATGATCATCTCTATCAGAGTTAATGAACTGCTGACATCTTTTTATAGAAATTTGATTAAAGTTGTTTCCTGTTCCATTTCTTCCATAAACTTCCAACATTGCCACTCCAAATGGACAACTTCTATAGACCATAGATACATAAATATATCAATTATTAAATTGATAGACAGATAAATGATAGACACATAGATAGCTGTAGATGGATGGAAGGATAGATGGGCAGACAATAGATAGATAGGTAGATAATAGATAAATAGACAGACAGATAGATAGACACACAGACAAGCAGATAGATAGATAGATAGATAGATAGATAGATAGATAGATAGATAGATACACACACAGACAGGCAGATACACAGACAGATAGATGATAGATAGATAGATAGATAGATAGATAGATAGATAGATAGATAGATAGGCAGATAGATAGATAGATAGATAGATAGATAGATAGATAGATAGATAGATAGATAGATAGGCAGGCAGGCAGGCAGGCAGGCAGGCAGATAGATAGATAGATAGATAGATAGATAGATAGATAGATAGATAGATAGATATCCTCTCTCTCTCAGGAGCCCAGCATATGTTCTCTCCTGGGACCTTCCCTGGTCCCCAGTGTCTGAAGTTCTCTTCCACAGTATGTACATATCTGTCACCAACTACATCTTCTTCCCATCTACAAATGCCATGTCTCCCCTTTCTTCCTTTTCATATCCCATTGTTAACATGCCCAGCTGTTACCCAACAAGAAAACAAAACCAGGCAGCCAGGCTCTCACTTCAGCTGGTGGATCCCCACATAAAGATAGGGTATCTAACCACCCTGGTCGCCCAAGACAGTCTTGGGATGAGAACTGAACGTCTTACCTTCCAGGAACCTCCTCAGCTCTACACACAGCAAGACTGTTGGGAACCCTTCCTCAGTCCTGAACACAGAGAAGGACCTTGGAAAGCCAAGTGAAGCAGGAAAGCAAATTGAGAGGGTGTTGGCACTCCATGCATGGACAAAGCAGTCTGTGCGCTGTCCTGATGTTCACAGCCTCTATCCTTTCACTCTCTGCCCTTCATTCACTTGCCCAAATTCCAGTCACATTCCAGACACAGGTGTCTCTCCAAGCCCACACTTGTTCCCCAAGGTTAAGCTAAATTGTACTTAGCACGGTATATTTACTCTTCTGACTGATCCCCAAGCCTCCCACCAACTGTGCACACCTTGAAGTCTGGCTATTCTTTTGGACTTTTTGCTGCAAATTTGCTGAATTTTTGAATGAATGAAGGTGGTGTGTCTTAAAAAGCACCAAATTCTTGTTAGCCTCCTTGGCTTGGCTTTTGATGCAAAAAACAACAACCTGCTATCAAGACAGTATGTCTTTGCATTTTGCAGCACCAGGGAACCTTGCTCTATTCTAAACCTTTCTAATGCCATGGATAACACTTCAGTCAGTCAGTAATTCCAAACTCATGTCTATCAGGGTATAGAGACACCTGTGACATAAACGCTCAAAAAGCAACAGAAACAATAATGACCAACAAAGCAAAACAAAGCACTCTCGCTTTCATTTTATAAGTGGGTGGTAGTTTCTACCTGGGTTATAGCCCCGGAACCCATGCGGAAGGAGAGAACCAGCTCTGCAAACTTGTCCTCTACCCACCACACACGCATGACAGCACGTGCGTGGGTCCACACACACACCTTCACACACAGGAAAACAAACATTTTAAAGACACAATGCTGACATATCAGCTGGGCCATTCTGTCTTGTGCAATAGAAATCACGGGACTACTTTGTGTTTGGTTTTCTAGACCACATAAGAATATTTTGGTGAGTTGGTCATTAATATTGTTATGGCGGCTGCTGTAGTTCCCAGGTTTATGGTAATTTTCGTTTTAACTTGCTCTGATGACAAGAACACTCACTGGAGATTAGAAGAAGCAGCTTTAAACAATTAACCCTGCTAGAAAATCAGTGTGGGAACTTGAGTGAGTCACAGTCCCTCTCCACCCCACTTTCTTCTGGAGGATAAATGATTGGGCAAGGTGTTCTCCAATGTCCCCTGGAGATCAGACATGCTACAATTTTCTGATTCTAAATGTGTCATTACCATTGCTTCTCTTGAATCATGATGGAATGAATTATAAAGGACAAATCGGTGGATGGCTGTTACATAGATGCACAAAAAGGAACAGAGGGAAGGCATAGTTTAAGTAGCCCTGGTCGAGAGAGGCTCTGTCAGGAATGGGTAATAATAAACCAGTGTGCATTTTAGCATGTTTGCAGGCTAGGAAAACCAAAGAAGCCACCCTGTGACTAACAAAATTACACACAAATCTCTATTACATTTCTAAAATGCATTTGTCTCTAACAGATGAGAAATAGTCAAGACATAAAAAGACAACGAGTTTGGATGCTACTATCATGCAATACTCTGAGGGATTCACAAGAAGGTAGAGAACTTGACAGTTCTGAGGTTCCCAGTAAGCGATGTAAATGTTTGTAGACAGCCCCGCTTGAGGATGCAGCTGAGGGCAAGTGCTGGCCTGCATGGCGCCCTCGAAACGACCTCTGTGTTTAAAAGCACTCTTCAATGCTCCTCAAGGTCAGCCCTTTCCTTATTACGGGACATGGGTGATGTCATTCCTGGCATGCCGAGTGTTCTGGAAAGCTACCTGCCACCCCAGTTTTCCTACTCCACACCCCGAGGCACCCCTGGTGAATCAAGAGCTTCAGCCCACTTAGCCCAGCTCTAGCTGGGTATGAGGAAATACATCTGTGAAAACACAGACAAGCAAGGGGCCACATGAGACAGCGAATCTGGGCAGAACAGCAGCTGAGGGCTCGGGATGATAAGCATGTATGCGCTGGCTCCAGCACAGAGCAGCCATTGGAGCAGTGACTCTGAGGTCAGGGCCTGAGGACTGAAGCCAGCGCCAGCCTAGCCTGCTTTAACATTTCCTCTAGATTCACGGGGTCTTGCTTTGGACCCTTTGAAACCCAAGAAAGGAAGATGAGAAGAAAAGTAAGAGACAAGAGATGGAAACTTTTTAATATGTGCTTTAAAACCCTCTTTATAGAGATGAGTAATAAAACGATTGAGGCCAGCAAACACAGTCAACCTTTCCACATTTTCTCTAAACAGTTATAAAACAGAGAGTCTTGTAAGGTCAGAGTTAAAGAAATACAGTCGTGTTTTGTAATTTTAAATGGAACGATAAAATAGCCTCAGTACTAGGGAAAGGTGTGTTCAGGCTTACCAGCTTGACTGAGAAGGAGTGATGGAGCCCACTCCAGCACTCAAGAAGAGGTGAACTCAACCTGGATGAGTAAGGCTTCTGCAAGCCACGAACTCCCCCTCACCTACACACATGCATACACAACACACACACACAGACACACTTTCCTTCTCCTCAAATCCAATAATAATAAATTGTGACATTTAACTTATGCCAAGAAAAGTCATTTATTGTTCTCATATGTTCAAAAAAGGAAACAAATTAAATGCCTACTATGTGCCAGCATCTGTAGGCTAGAAGGTACAAACATATAGATAGATAGATAGATAGATAGATAGATAGATAGATAGATAGATAGATAGATAGATA